TCCCCCCGCCTAGCCCCGAGCCCTGGCCGAGCCCAAATCCTGCTCGTGGCTGTGGCCAAGTCCCGCCTGGCATCGCCAGAGCCCTGGGGGACCAAACCCCGGCCCTGCCCAGGGAACCCGGCAAGGGGTCTGTACCCGACGCCTGCCCCGCGGGGGCTGTGGGCAGCTGCCGCTCCCCTGGCACCCCCGAGCAGGGCAAGCAGGCTGAAAGCAAGAACAACACCCGGCTCCAACCCCTGCCGGGTCCCCGGGCTGTCCCAGCTCTCTGCCAGGACAGCAGTCACCCACGGGACCCGTTCCCAGGGACCACTCCAAGCTGTCACCTTCACCACCACAGATAATCAGCCCTAAGTGCTCCCGAGTGACTTCGGCTTTGCTGTCAAGCTCAAATAATAAAAATTTCTAAACCTAATTTGTTTTTCCTTCTGCCCAGCAAGAGCCTCGTCCCCTGCTGGGGGAGGAAAGGAGTTTTGTTATCAGCTCACATTATCTCCTCCACCTGAAGAGGCTGCTGCAGAGGGGCAGGTCACCAGAACGGGGCTGCTCTCAAGCTCTCCTCTGTGCCACAACCTGCTGCTTCGAGTCGGGGCAGTTTTATGGCTTCAGGAGCAGGGATTTGGTCTTTAGCCCCATCTCTGCTAGGTGCAGGTGGGCAGCCTTGTTCAGCACATCCAGCTTCTGCAGGCACGGTGCTTTCCTTTCCACCTGGCAGCATCCAGTCCATGCTCCCTGATCATATTAGATACAGGGAGTCATGTCTGCTCTCCAGCATGAAAATCCTGTTCACTCTGACTGAGCAGCTCCTCTGCTCCTACAGCAGAGGTTTGAGTGTGGTCTAAGGGAGAAGCTCAAACCTTCCCCTGTGCACAGCAGGTTTTGCAACATAACTTGTGTTTATTGCCCTTGTTGGGATCATTCCACCCGTTCTTGCCAGGGCACCCAAGTGCAGGGTCAGGGGATGCATTCCTACACAGTCCTTGCAGAGCTGAGAGCACTCTGCATGCTGAAAGGGAAACGAGCTTCCCAAGAGCAGGAATTAACCCAGCTGACAGGTCAGACTGACCCCCTAACCTCATTTCCAGAGCAGAAAGCTGGGATTTTCTAGATCATTTCATCCCAGGAGGCCCAAAGGTGGAGGTCTGAAAGGATGCATCCCATGAGCTTTTCTTCTCCTGGACTGGCACCTAGACCCAGATTCTTCTGCAGCTCAGGTAAAAAGCTGGCCCCAACTGGGATACCTGGACACACTTCCCAAGGACATGGGGCCAAGGCCATCCCCTGACATTTCACCTACCAGCTGATGTCCCATTTATCCACATACTTACACCTACCTTCCATTTTACAGGGACAGGAAATGGGGGAAGCTTGTGCACACTCTGAAGTTTAGAAACTGCAGCAGCACCTATAAATATGGAAACCCCTTTTGCAAAAAAAACCAAGGTTTACAAGCCTGATAAAACACATTTCAAAATTCTTGTTTCACAGGTGTCTGTTGGGACTGTGATGGCACACAGAGACCCAGCCCTCCTACAGACCCCCGGGGGTCCTGATGTGGTACCTGGGACACGGCACGGCTGGCCAGAGGGTGTCACAGCAGGTTTGGGAGAGGCAGTGGAACCTGCTGGAGGTCAGCAGGGCAGGCTGGCCTCAGAACTGCTCTGGGAAAGGGAGGCAGGACACATGAGTGACAGAAGGTCCCCAAACACCTCCCATTCTCAGGTGTTTGTCAAGAAAACAAGATGGAGCAAACCAGCACCACGTGCCAGCCCTTTTAAAATGAGTTGGCAGAACAGGGTGAGTGTTTGATGTGGGTTATCTGGATGCAGTCTCATCCAGGGAACTCTGCCATGAGCTGCTGCAGCAAGACCTCCCCCAGGGCAGCGAGGGGCTGCAGGAACCACAGAGCAAGGAGCTCTGCTGGGAAGTTTCAGCAGTTCAGGGAATAGCTGCTCTGCTGGACTCTATGCCGAAACACCAGAAACACCAAAAGGGTAAAGCTCCACAGCTGAGCACAGAGCCCTGGGTGAGCCATTGAACTCAATCCTGGGCTTTTCACTTTTTCAGTCTGTTTCAGGCCTGGTTAGTAACAATTACAACAGAACTGCTCATTGCATGTGATGGGTTACTATGAAACACTTCACCTTACCTGTACTTCAGCTCTGGAAAGTCAGGGAGTCAGGATTTTGTCTGCACTGATTTGCATTTAACCCACCCAACTCAGCCCACAGTTACTGCCCCAAATAATAACTTACACAAGAATGGAGAGAGGCATTACTCAGTTTTATTGTTTTGGGAGAGTTATTTTGAAGTTCAACTTGAAACAAGCTTAAAACAAACCAATCAGCCCCAAAATCCCCTCAGAGTTTGTACACCCTAAAACAAATTACTGCAAATAAACAGGTTTTAAAAATATATTAAAAAAAAAAGAGAGAGAAGTCAGAGTAGGAGTGCTTTTATCACTGCTATACAAACTACTAAAACTAAACCAAAGTAGAATTATAACCCCTATTCCTTATCTCATTAACTTAAAATAATTAGGCATTCCAAAAATTCTTTCATCACATTTAGTGACTTCAAAAGTTATGGTAATATGGGGAAGATAAAGTATCAAACTTGTGTATTTCTGCACCATCATCCATTATTACAGACACCAAAAAGTGCTCCAGGACTTTCAGCACATATTATAAGATGCTCAGTGAGGAATTTTACAGGGGAAAAAAAAAAGGAATGTTCTGTTATCACCAAGCAATAGCATTTCATACTCTTTAGACCCTGTATCAAGTGAAGGTGGGGTGTCTCTATAGCCTTATTCCAAACCAATACAAGTGGAAGAGAAGCCACAAGCTGCTCCTGATGAACCACTGCAATTCTGAATTGCAGTCAGGCCATGCTCCATCAGAACCTCTTCAGACTCTGCACATCTGGCACCCAGAGGTGACAGCCTCTGAAACATCTGTCTCAGCAAAAACACGTAGGGAAGTTTTCAAACCAGATCAGAGTCCAGAAAGCAGGCACAAACTTCAGCTTTATTGTTTTCCAAGCAATGGTCATCTCTGCAAGGGAAGGATATTGCAGCTGGAAAAGAAGAGGGTGGAAGGAAATATTGAAGTCTCAGTTCTCAAAGAGGCACAGAAGATCTGACATGGCACAAAGCACACCCACAACCCTCCTCCACAGAACACACCAGCCACCGAGACCTTCCTCCCTGCGCTCACGTTTGATGCCTCCCCACACGTGCTGTCAGCCCCCAGCTCTCAGCTGGCACCTGCCCGTGGAGTCCAGCAGAGCAGGCAGCAACACACAGAGCAGAGCACAGAGCTGGCCCTGCTGAGGGAACGTGCTCCCCACTGCCCAAAAGCCCCTCTGTGCCAGGAAGCCCAGGAGCAGCTCACCCCAGGAGGCCCTTCCCGGCCCAGCGCTTCGGAGTCAGCCCCAGATGCACCTTTTTGCCTCCACGGATCACAGTCACACTCAGGGGTCTCTGAAAGGGAGGAAAAAGGGAAAACAGAACAACTGGCAACTTCCCATCACCAAGTCAACTCTCTGTTCCTCTGCTGAAACAACACAAGAACATTAGGCCCAGGGAAGCTGCCCTTCAGCAGCACCCACTCCCATCCCTGTGGCTAGATCTGAAAGAAGAGTTTGGTGTGGAGGCATCTCCAGGAGATCTCTGCCTTCCACCATAAAGCTCTTGATAGCTGTGGCAGCTGCTTTGGCCAGTCCCTGAGGGTGGCATAGCAACAGCCTGCTGCTGCAGGGAGTCCCCAGGGGACAGGCAATATGATGCTCACAGCAAAGAGCACACACCTCTTAGCTCTCCTCTGTCCAGCAGGACAGCTCAGTGCTGTGAGAGAGCAAGGCTACAACAGCACAGACTGAATCTGATCCCATCTCTTGAGGTGGAAGTGATGACCTCAGAGACCCAGGCTGCAGAGGAGAAGCTGTGGCTGACAGAGAGGCAGGAGAATGCAGACACACAGCAATGAGCTCACCCCCTCGCTGTGCTGCACCACTGTGGCAATGTTCTGCAGGTTCTGGAAGTTGTTTACGTTGACAGAACCAAACTCCACGATCTCGTCATCGACCTGAAGGCCCTGGACAGAGACAGAAGAGACAGGAGCATCTACCTCCTCCAGAGACAGGCAATACCACAGAGACATCCCCCTCCACCCAGCTGCACGGCGAGAGGTGTGCCAGGGCACCACTCTGCTCACCACGTCACACCCTCCCCACGCCCTCAGCAGAGGTCAGTGCTCATTCTGCTGTCCTCTTATGGCAAGAGAAACACTGAGGCTGGAATGGCCAGTGAGGCCTGGTGTGACCCAGCTGGTGCAACAACACAGCTGAGAGTGCCCACGTCCTTCCCTACAGTGACAGGACATCCCAGTGTGACAAAAGGGTGAGTGGGACACACCCAAATCACACCCCCTCCCCCCCGTTATTCCCACTTATTAACAAGAGCCAGAGAAAGCCATCTGCTGTTGTCTCCCTGAGGCAGAGGAAGCCTCCCCAGGAGCTGTGAGCCCCAGCTCACCGAGGTGCTGGCGGGTGACCCCGGTGTCACGGCGTTCACCCTGGCGAAGGC